GATCATGCGGAGGGACAAGGATGGTGAGGATGGATAGAGGAGAGATGGAGGATGGAAGGATGTGTTTTTTTTGTTTGGTTTGCTTGTTTGATTGTTTTCTTTTTTCTGTTTCTGTTTCTGTTTCTTCTTCTTCTTCTTCTTCCTCATCAAGATCATGCGGAGGGACAAGGATGGTGAGGATGGATAGAGGAGAGATGGAGGATGGAAGGATGTGTTTTTTTTTTTCTTTTTTTTTTGGTTTGCTTGTTTTCTTTTTATTTCTGTTTCTTCTTCTTCTTCTTCTTCTATTTCTTCTTCTTCTTCTTCCTCATCAAGTGGAGGGACAAGGATGGTGAGGATAGGAGGGAAGGATAGAGGATGGAGGATGTGTGTTTGTTGGTTTGATTGTTTTATTATTCTTTTTTTCTGTTTCTGGATGGATAGAGGATGGATGGGTGGAGGATGTGTTTTTGTTTGTTGGTTTGAATGTTTAATTTTTTATTGTTTTTTTTATTCTTTATTTTCTTTTCTTCTTCTTCTTCTTCTTCTTCTTCTTCTTCTTCTTCTTCTTCTTCTTCTTCTTCTTCTTCTCCGCCATCCTCATCAAGATCAAGTGGAGGGACAAGGATGGTGAGGATAGGATAGGAGGATAGGAGGGAAGGATGGAGGATGTGTTTTGGGCTTTTGTTTGTTTTGTTTGTATGCTTGTTTTCTTTTTTTCTGTTTCTTCTTCTTCTTCTATTTCTTCTTCCTCCTCATCAAGATCAAGTGGAGGGACAAGGATGGTGAGGATAGGAGGGAAGGATAGAGGATGTGTGTTTGGTTTTGTTTGTTTTATTTGTTTGATTGTTTGGTTTTGTTTTGTTTTTGTTTCTTCTTCTTTTCCGAAATCCTCATCGGGATCAAGCGACGGGACAAGGATAGTGATGACATTTTGTTGATGTTTTTATTTGTTTGTTTGTTTGTCTTTCTTGTTTTTATCTTTATCTTTTGTTTCTTCTTCTTCTCCTTCTTCTTCTTCCTTTTCTTCTTCTTCTTCTTCTTCGCCATCCTCATCAAGATCAAGCGAAGAAGGGACAAGGAAGCTGAGGATAGGAAGAAGGAAAGATGGAGGATGTTTGTTTTGTTTGTTTGCTTTTTTGTTGTTGTTGTTTTTGATTCATCGTCTTCTTTTTCTGTTTCTTCTTCTTCTTCTTGTTTTTTATTTCTTCTTGTGAGAGTGCCTCTGTATTGTGAACATTTCATATGCCTGTCTGTGTCTGTCTATGTTTGTCTGTGTCTGTCTGTGTTCGTATTCTCTTTAAAGTGTGTAAGTATCTGTGCATATATCTAATTATGACTATGATATTATACTATCATTCTAACAAAAGCCCAAAAAAGATAGCAACAACAGAAAACTTAAAAAAAACTAAAAACATTTCACATTTCTTACATTTTCAATAAATCCCGTTCCTGGTTGTTTTTATATATATAGTATCAACACGGTAGAGTTTCTTCCCACTTAAAAAATAAAAAAAAGATAAAAAGATAGGTAAATTAGATCAAATCCCACGCCTATATTAACCCCCCCAAAAAAAAACAAAAAATCCATGGGAAACAAAATAACGTCTATAAGCCATAAATAAATAAATAAATAAGATCCCTATATTAGCCAAAAAATAAATTAATGATACTACTACTAATAATAATTATAAAACCCTTTATTTCACAGGAAACAAAAAAAAACGTCTAAAAACAAAAAATAGATAAATAAATGAAATCCCACGCCTATATTACCCCCACCAATATATATATATATATATATATATATATATATATATATATATATATATATATATATATATATATATATATATAACAATGATACTAATAATAATAATAACAATAACAATAATGATAATATTGATACTGATAATAATAATAATAGCAATAACAACAATAATAATAATAACAATAACAACAACAACAATAATAACAGTAGTAATAACCCGCCCCCTTTCGCAGGCAAGGAACTGTCGGGCTCAACAGAGGAGCTGGTGAAGGCCGAGCCGGCGGACGAGGAGGACGGCGAGGACAGGGCCAAGAAGAGGCTGGCGTGGAAGAGGGAGGGGGGGGCGCAGGCCGCGGAGGTGCGCTTCCGGTCGCAGGTGAGAAGGGGGGGGGAGGGGGGCAGGGCCAAGAAGAGGCCGGCGTGGAAGAGGGAGGGGGGGGCGCAGGCCGCGGAGGTGCGCTTCCGGTCGCAGGTGAGAAGGGGGGGAGGGGAGGGGGGGCAGGGCCAAGAAGAGGCCGGCGTGGAAGAGGGAGGGGGGGGCGCAGGCCGCGGAGGTGCGCTTCCGGTCGCAGGTGAGAAGGGGGGGAGGGGAGGGGGGGCAGGGCCAAGAAGAGGCCGGCGTGGAAGAGGGAGGGGGGGGGCGCAGGCCGCGGAGGTGCGCTTCCGGTCGCAGGTGAGAAGGGGGGGAGGGGAGGGGGTGCAGGGCCAAGAAGAGGCTGGCGTGGAAGAGGGAGGGGGGGCGCAGGCCGC